GAAGTACACTTGACTTTTCAAGCAAAATCTGAAAAGAAGTTACACTGGCAAAAAAATCCTCATAAGATTTGATAGCCAACCAGCTATTAAAGCATTAGCATGTGAAAAAATCATTGAATGCATCCAAAATCTCCAAAACCTGGGGAAACACAACAACCTGATGATATCTTGGGTGCCAGGGCACAGGGGAATTTGGGTAACGAGAAAGCAGACAGACTGGCCAGAGCATCAAAAATCTCCAAATCCTGGGGAAATACAACAACCTGATGATATCTTGGGTGCCAGGGCACAGGGGAATTTTGGGTAACGAGAAAGCAGACAGACTGGCCAAAGGAGGATCTGCAAGACCATACATAGGCCCCGAACCTTGGTAACAAAAACAAATAGAGAATCTTCCATCAAAAAATGTATCCAAATGAAATAAAGGAGAAGTGGATAAACTTTAGCGGCGCTAGACAAAGTAAACTGCTAAAACAACCCTCATCAAACCTGGCACTCATTGCTACAGTTAGAGTCGGCTAAATTAGAGCGATAGGTATAAGAGAAAACATCTACATAACACGATGACACCATTTGTAGACTATGCAATGAGGAGGAAGAAACATACGTCCATATTAACTTCGAATGCCAAGCAACTGCTCAATGGGGATATAACCTGGGATACGGGGGGGAGAAGGATCGAGTCGATTGCTCTGTACTAGACAACTGTCCATAGGTTGTGCATTCTCCCCTAGTCTGTTATGCATCGTAGCTTAATTTTGCTCGCAGATGCATCTCATATTTCTCGGTACCTGCCCGATGGTTGCTTAGCCCAGGCTCGTGCGCAGTTAATACACATCTCATCCTGGCAATTTTTAGTGTTGTGAGGCTCAGAGCAGTTAGCACATGTTGGCTCATTTCGTGAGCAGTACGGGGCTGTATGCAACTGGAGCAGCTGGTGACATCCAGGTGATTCTTTACTGCTCATGATTGGTAATCCAAGAATACGTCGGTTAATTACCATTTTTTTTCCGGAATAACTTTAATTGCCCAGGAAACGAAGGGGCTATGTTATTGAGGTACTCTGCCGTATCTTACTGTGTGTAACAGTGTACTGCATTTTGGTCCCAGTCGCTGTCGAAATCATTGTTGGCAAATAATTGCTCTTTTAACTGAACCTCTGCTACTCCCTCCGATTGGTCGATACTGTTTCTTCCTTACAGGTTACCTCCCTATACCTTCTGATAGCTTGACCTCTTGCATTAGTTGAGCTCAGTGCCTCCGATAACTGGAGCGCCTGCCCATCCCTGGATCATCTGATGACTTTTTTCAAGATAGTTAGAGCTTCAGTCAGTTAAATCAACTGCAGTGCTTCGTGAATAAAAACTACCGCTTTCTAGTATCCATTAGCATTTTGCTCATCATCATCAACGATGCAGCCCTCTTCACCTTGCTAATGCTATGACGAAGGCCAATATCTTCAGTAAATGAAAACATAGGTTGAATCAGAATAAAATGACATATCATTCATTAATTCTTACATTTCCTATGTATGAAATTATAAAGTTTAACGCTATATTGAAATCGGGATGAGAACAATGGTGAATAACCCTTACCGAATTTACAATTCCAATTCCATTTAGAAAATAATTTCGTAATCCGTTTCGATGAAGAAACCGCTTCCTCGCCGAGTCGTCGGATAACCCACCATCGTACGATACGTATATACATTAACAAAGGAATCCTGCTGTTATTCCGCCGTAGGTAAACAGCAATCGCGGTTAGCACAAACGGCAAATATTCCTTGATAAACCTGGGAAATTTGTGGCTCCGAACATCGCGTATCTGCCGAAATGTACGTCGATAAGGAAAATTTCAACGGGGAAAAATCTATCTCTGCATTTACAAGTTTTAAATCAGAGTCAAATGGATTCGATTATACTATTGTCCGTGATAAAACTTTCACTGTTGCTATAAGATTAAAGCTATTTTAATCTGGTTGATATCGCTATTAGTCGTGCACTGTGGCACTTTTATCGGTTTTATCGGCCCTTCCTCTACTCCGCTCCTAAACGAAAGTATTCATCGATATATTTGGAGATATAAGTTTTTTTTTTATTAGCTTGAAGATTGGGATGCTCGATCAGGTTGAAATGGAATAAAAAAAAAGAAAAAATTAAGTTTTCAAGTAAGCCGAGATATCGGGCTGAGGGCAGAATGACAAAATTTCAGATTCTAAGTTATACAAAACGATTAAAATTATTGCCACTGATGAAGCTTTTCAGTTAATCTTATAAGTTTAATTTTGAAGGTTGGAATCTGTTCAGCCATAACTCTGCCTTATTTACCCATGTAATTCAGGAAAGAACAAACATAAAATAAGGATAGCAATGTTAATCTCTAGTTGAAAAGTTTTTATATTTTATTTGAAGAAGAAAACTTTATGTCTTAAAAAAAACCATTCGTAAGTTTGTCGGGTTCCAGCGGCCCTGCATTCGAACCCGAGACCTTTACTTTACAGTGATGAGCGCCGTGTCAAAGCCTAAAACCACCGACCACCGACGCCCGTTTAGTTTGTCAAAAAATCAGGACTTATTATCGCTTCGATATCGTACAATTCCACCAGTGGTTACAAAATTAATTAAAATAAACATTTAGATGCAACATAAATCTTCAAACAATTATAGCACATAGTTATTGTATTTGTACAATATTGATTAGCACTAATTGTTAGCTACTCTAGAGTAATACAGCTTCTTTTCCGTAAAATTAAATTTTATCTACAAATTAACTTTTTTTAAATTTGAAATTAACGGTTTTTAGCTTCAAATTAACCCTTTCTTTAAAGCAGTAAAAATAGTTAAAAATTATATAAAATAAAGATAAAAACAAATGATTGTAATATTACTAATTTGAGATTTGAAAAAAATATATAAATGCTGAATCTTGCATAAAATTCAATTAATTGAGGTTTTTTTGGTTGAGATAAAAAAGTCAGTGTCACGAGCGGGATTCGAACCCACGACCTTCGGCTTGATACGCCGCTACTCTACCACTTGAGCTATCGTGACTTCAAGTCGACGAAGTCACGATAGCTCAAGTGTTAGAGTAGCGGCGTATCAAGCCGAAGGTCGTGGGTTCGAATCCCGTTCGTGACACTGACTTTTTCATCTCAACTAAAAAACCTTATTTAATTGAATGATATTAATTGGTCAAGCGGACCACGAAAAATAGTGAACTTGTATAAAATACCAAATGAACATTAAATTAAAATTAAAAATTATATAAATTAAGTAATGAAATAATGAATACTTAGTTTAACTAATGATTAAGCATTTGCTTTAATATTTAATAGTGTAGCTTTTTTCCGTAAATGAACCCTTTTTAACTTAAAGTAACCTTTTATATTTTCAAATTAACAGCCCGAGGTTCATACAACCTCTTAGATGAAATAGTTGAAGAAAAAAAACACCTACAACTTCAAATTCAACTTACCTTAATTTCCAAATGTACCTTTTTAAATTTCGAATTAACCTAAACCTTTTTATTAACCGTTAACAAAAGTTATGAGATGCTATAAAATACAAGCATATAATGTAAAATTATATGCGATTTTTTTTAACATAAAATAAATGGGCCTTTAGATATGAGGATATAAAAATTAATTACAATTGAAAGTAGTGTAATATTTAATTAAATATGACAACAAATCATTTTTCTATTAATCCGACTGTTTTTAAAATAGAAAATCGATATTTTGTTGACCAGTTATTTTATAATTAAACACAAATCGCAAATATGTAAAAAAATTTCCTTTGCATGATTATATTACATACTCCTCAGTTTTTTTTTGCTTTAAAAAAGGGATTAATTTGAAATTAAAAAGAGTGCATTTGTAATTAAAAAGGGGCCAATGAAGAAAAAAACAAAATTAATTTGAAGCGAAAAAGGCTTAACTCGAATTTAAAAAGGGTTAAACTGAAATTAAGGGTTAATTTGAGTTTAAAAAAATGTTTTGAAATTTAAAGGGTTCATTTGAAGTAAAAAAGGCTAATCTGAAGTTAAAAAAGTTTAATTTGATATGAAAAAAGGTTAATTGGAAAATTAAAAAAAAAGGTTCATAGGAAATTAAAAAGGGTTAATTTGAAATTAAAAACGATTAATTTAAAGTCAAAACGGGTTAATTTGAGTTTAAAAAGGATGAATTCGATGTTAAAAAATGTTAATTGAAAGTTATAAAGGTTTAATTTGTAGTTAGAAATGGTTCATAAAATGGGTTAATTTGAATTTAAAAATGGTCATTTGAAGTTAAAAAATATTACTTTAAAGTTAACAAAAGGCTTAATTTGAAGCTGAAAAAAGTTTAATTGGAAATTAAACAGGTTTAATAAAAGTTTAAACCTTACGTATTTACGTTTTGGACAAGTTACTAGGAATGGCGGACTTCTTCCTGTTCCTACTTACAAATTCATAATGATACATTAGTACCATCATGCAAAATGTCAGACTCAGTATTGTATTTTGTATATGCATATGCTGTACATCGAGCGAGCCGTTGATGTGTACGTCTCGGATCTTCCTGGTGCTTTTCCCTAATACTGTTATTGGTTCGGAAATTAATTTAAGCTTAATCAATAGTCAAATAATAAAATAAGAAAAATGGGAGGTTTAACGAACGAAATTATTATTTATTTTATTATGTATCTGATTTACACTTCGACAAAGTTGGAGGAAAGTCTTTCTTTTCATACCAGCGTGTCTGTGATGATGATGACGGATTGTGGAGCAAAACGATACAAAACCTTCAAACTATTTATTGACGAGATAACGATGTAGTTCGTTGTACAAAAAAAATTATCTCTCTATTACAAGTAATCTACTAAAAGATAAAGAAGCGGATGTTGTAAATTTTATACAAATTGCGTATTTTTTAAGATTTTTTTTTTACGAGTACATATGTAATAATGTTTAAAATTTTAGTATGTATTTGATTGTGATGATTATCGAGTGGATTGTTTCAGGTTGCCACGACAGCCAGGAGAGAGCAGTCATCGTCGTGGAAAGCGAACAGGTCGAGAGGTACAGGATGACTCCGTCAGATGTTGCTAAGCTCTTGCACTACCTCTGCCAAATACCACGAAAGTAAATATCGCCAAGTATATTGTCTATGGAAAAACTTAGCTTAAGACAATACAAACTTTATAATTGGAAATTCTATAAGTGCCGCAGGGGGATTTTTTTTACGATTGGGTAACAAGATTCTTTATTCCTCCCGCCCGATATTATTGCATTCTCGATTAGTGCACCCTCTTTTCTCCAGCAATGATACAATCAACTCTTCCAGGCCAATAACCTTTAGTTTATCTAGTCTGATAACATATAAGGGGATTTGTTTAAAAAGCAAGAAATTCAAACCAAATAATGAACATTGTTTACACGATACAATATTTTTTAGTTAGCAATGAAGCATTAGGTCTAAATAAATGGCTTCGTACTATTTACATTCTAACATGTCTACATTCTATGTTAAAAACATAGGTGTTAATATGTTAATAAAAAGGTAGAAAAAACCTAAAGAAGAAAAATTTGTTAAAAAAAAAGTTTCAAAGTTTAAATCAGTGAAAATAAGTTTGCTCCAATTGCTTTTTCAATTTTGTCTAGATTGAAGTTCAGTAATCAAATGTTTAAGGCAAACTAATAGAACGTTAATATTTCACACTTCTGTTCGAATCGTGGAATTTTATAGGTTTTTTTCAGTCTAATTAACCTTCTTGATTTCAAATTAATCCTTTTATCTTAAAATTAATCTTTTAAAAGTCAGATTTATCCTTTCCAACTTAAAATTTACCCTATTTCACTTCAAATGAAACTTTTAACTTAAAATTAATTTTTTTTAAACTTCATATTACATTTTTAACCTCAAATTATCCTTTGTAACTTAAAATTAACCATTTTTGTTTTAAAATTAATAATTTTTAACTTCAAATTAACCTTTTTTAACTCCAAAATAAACTTATATAACTTCATATTAACTTTTTAAACTTCGAATTAACTCTTTTTGACCTTTTTTAATTTCAAATTAGTCCTTTTTCAATTTCAACATAATACTGTTTAACTTCGAATTAACCTTTTAAACCTATTAAGACTTTACGATTTAAAATTGACCTTATTTCACTTCAAATTAAACTTTTAACTTAAAATTAACATTTTTTAAATTCGAATTTCATTTATAACTTTTTTAACTTCAAATTAACCTTTTTAACTCCAAAATAAATAATTTATAACTTCACATTAACTTTTCTAAACTTCGAATTAACTTTTTTTGACCTTTTTTAATTTCAAATTAACGGTTTTTACCTTCATATGAACCATTTTTATGTTCAAATTAACCCTTTTTAACTGCAAATTAATCCGTTCTAACTTCAAATTAACCTTTTAAACGTCAAATTAACACTTTCCGACTTAAAGGTAACCTTATTTCACTTCAAATTCAATTTTTAACTTAAAATTAGCATTTTTTAAATTCGAATTACATTTATAATTTTTTTAACTTCAAATTAACTTTTTTTATTTTAAAATTAACCATTTTTAGCTTGAAATTGACCCTTTTTAACTTCAAACTAACCCTTTTTATTTTAAAATTTTAATTTAATTTGAAATTAACATTTTTTTAACTTCGAATTAACACCTTTTATCTCAAATTAACCTTTTTTAACTTAAGATTAACCTTTTATAATTTCAAATTAACCGTTTTTAACTTGATATGAACCATTTTTATCTTCAAATTAACGATTTCAAATTAAACCGTTTTAACTTACAATTAACCTTTTTAATATCAAAATCACGTGTTTTAATTTGAAATTAAATATTTTTTATAGCATTAAAAATCCGAAAGAGCATGAAGTATTAGCATGTGAAATAAGATTCCTACATATTTCCGAGTTTTTGAAGAATATAAAATAGGATCTTATATAAACTACTACATGAAAATTAATTATAATTACATCCGTTATACTTAGAGGTCTATTGACCAAATTACTTCTTTCAATTAATTAATTTTTTACGTAAGGTTTTGGTCAAAATGAAAAAGTCATTGTCACGAGCGGGATGTCCCGCACACTGACCTTTTTCATTTCGACCAAAACCTTATGGAAAAATATTAATTAATTGAAAGAATATAATTACAATTAAAAGTTATATACAATTGATCACAAAAATAAATAATTTTTCTATTAATTGTTTGTAAACATTACTCAATTTACTGTTTTCTACACTTGTCAAAATTTTATTTACAGTCAAAGTGATCCTTTTATTCGTCAATTCTTCAAAAATTTAAGTCAAGGTCAATTTTAATAGGTTAGCCAAAATTTGACTATTGGTAGCAAATATATAATTGAAAAAGTGTAAAGTTTCTTTTATATTTTATTTCATTGATTCTTTTATATTCATTGATTTATATTCGCCTAATTTTACGTATTTACGGAATTGAGCGAGAAAATCTACTTCAGGACTTTGCAGGCTTATTAGTCTTATACATTTCGTCACCTAAGTTAGGTTCCATAGGATGTCAATACCTAGGTCATTTCAACTCCCCACTTAGGTTTTAAAGCTCAATTCAATTATTCCATTTTAAATACATGCTTTTCTGTCACTCAAGTAGCGTGGTGTTCGATATTCTAACCTACCATTTGCCTCTCGCATTCACGCTAATAAATGCACTCAGTATCAAGTTTTGTTTTATTGAATAAAAACGCCCCTGTTTCCACCGAGGACCCAAATATTTCCGTGTCCAATTCTCATATCGGGTGTCATTTCTGCACGCAATCTATACGGAGACAAAGAATGATACCATTCAATTAAAATATACACACGAAGTTTTCTCTACATGCCGGACACATACGCGGGCTTTGCTCCAAAAGTGTTCATGTGTTTTGTGGAGAAATTTTGATGAGGAATAAACGGCTATGGTAATAAACTGATCACTCTTCCGCGTTACGAACCTTTGAATTTTATATTGAGGTCCGCCTCTTCTCGCTTCGATTGTTACATCCGTCCCGGATGGTGATGGATGATGAACCAGCGCCAAAGCCCCTCAGCACGTGCATCACTTTGGCTAATAAAATCAAAATGTTTACTATTAATTTCTCATATCTAAAATGTCAGAAACAGTTGAATCTACCTGGAGTCAGGTTGAAGAAATTAATGAAACGATATTGCTGAGTAAACAACAGGGTATCGTATTTTAAAAATACAAATTCGCCCTCGTTAAATAGGAAGGGAAAAATTTCACTGAGCGTTGCGCAAGTCTGCGTTTGTTAAAATTCACCCGAATGTGCTTGTGAGATTGGGGCGTAAATAAATAAGATTCGAGCCGATTCGTAAAAATGCCTCTGATTGATGAGCAGTTCGTTCCATTCCACTGCAATACACTGGTTCTCTTGCTTTTACCTTTTTGCCACTTTCTCGAAGAGCTATATTTCCTCTGATTGATAAGAGGAACACGACGTGAACGGATTTTTGAACAACCGAAGAATGAATGAGAAACACGGCCGTTTTCTAATCATTTTTCTCAGGGCGAACACGAAGGCTTTTTTATCAGGCGTGAATACAAAAAAATAATTAAAGATCCCTTTTATTTATTATAATTCAACAAGATTTCAGCTTGTACTCGACTTGTTAATATATTTTACCATTGAATAATTTTACTAGCTCGCTTTCTCGAGAGGCTATATTTCATTTTGGCTGATTTATTGAATTCAAATAATTAATCTATAGAATTATCAATAACAGCGTTAGATTGATTACAGAAATTATTTTTTAATATATGATGCATGTATTAACATCCAATTTACTTATTTTCCTTCAAATTAAGAATGACGTCTTATTTCTCACAGTGAATTATGTTAGCAGATGCATATCACAGTGCAAAAATACATTCATTGATAAATAGATAAAGATACATTGATAGATTTTATTCCTTTTTTTTTATAACTGAGTGCAAATTACAAAAGTCAAGATTATTTCGTTAATTACTCAGCAGCTGGTTAGGCGGAACTGACCAGGGTAGAGAGATCCCTTTCCATTTTCCAGTCCAAAGACTTTATTTTTGCCATGTCCATTTAGTGCTTAAGTTAGTTCGGCTTTTATTTTGAATGGAGATTTCAGTCTGGAAGTTACAGTTGGAAAAATGTTTCCGCGTTGTGCCCTTTTTCTGCACTTTTCCATTGTTTTAACCAGGGCTTTAATGTTTTCCTTCTGCACTGTATTTTTAACTGGGTTCTTGGAACTGTGCCATAGGCCATTTGCGAATTATAACTTCTTGCATCAGCCTTATTTTGATATAGAGATAAAACGTTAAAAAAAATTATAAACTGAGAGTAAAGATTAGTAAATTCCTAGTAAAAAGGAGGAAAGAAGAAAAGGGTTAAAAATTATAACTAATTATCCAGCTATCATAATTTGTTAGAGAGCAGCGGAAGGAGATAAAATAATGTAGCTTTTTCAGTCAAATTATCCCATTTTTATTTCAAATTAATCTGTTTGACACCAAATTAACACTTTGAATTTCAAATTAAGCTTCCTAACTTCAAATTAGCTTACTTAGCTTAATAAGCTCTTATTATTAGCTTGAAATTTTAATTTCGAATTAATTCTTTTTTTTTAAAGCATCAACAAATTTCGGAAATGTACGAAATTAAGCTGTTAAAGTAAAATCTCTGTGTATTTTCGATTTTTTTAAAAATATAAAATAATTGGGCACTTAGAAGACCATAATTCAAATTTTACAAAATTAAATATCGAAATAAATACAAATCCTTTTAATTGGAGAATTAAAAAAACATATAAAATGGGTTCTTAAACGTATCAACTACTACCTTGTAAAAGTTGTAACATAATTACTAAGTACATATTTAACTTTATATAACTTTTAATTTTAATAGTAATTAATTTTCATATGATCTTCAAATTATTTTTAAAATTCTTTCAATTTTTATAACATTATTTGTAAAATTCTTTAAATAAAAATCTTTTTGTTTTAGTACAAATTAAAACAGGAATTTTACTATACACATTTATATTTTGTAGGTTAGTAAATGAAAGTTATAAAAGATTGAAATTAAAAAAAGGTTATTTTGACGTTTAAAAAAATTATTTTGAAGTTAAAAAGGCTTTATTTGAAATTAGAAAAGATTAATTTGAAACTTTAAAACTAAAAAGGTTAATACACTTTTAAACGGATTCATTCGAAATTAAAAGGATTATTTTGAAATTCAAAAGGCGTAAGTAGAAGTTAATTACAAATCAAAGATTCCACGATTCTTACAGAAGTATAAAATAACTTGATTTTTGTTAAAATATAAAATAATTTGGCTGTTTTAAGATCATATGAAAATTAATTAAAATTAAAATTAATAGTTATGTACAATTAAATGTAAAATAATAGGATTCTTAATTTAATTTGTGATTTTTTTAAATATAAAATAATTATTTTAAATTAAAAAGCAAGAATCCTCAAACTTGAAGTAACTGTCCATAGGGCGAGGATGTGAAGGATCAAGTTATAAAAATTGCATAAAAAAGCACTCACATTCTCGTTAGTTTTTAAATACACCCTTTTCTATTTACGTGCCCTATTCACTCTTGAGTATGGTGGGGTTTCCTTCATCACACATTACATGTAATTTAAAATACGTCTAATTGAGGGTCGATGGGCTACTCTATATTACACCATCGGGCCCTCTAATTCTACTCAATTACGCAAATAAATATATTCAATCTCAATGTAAGAAAGAAACACATATATCTGTACATACCATAGACGAAAAAAGAGACTTGTTTGCTCAAACATTCGGAACCAGAAATAAAGGATCTTTTATTTGACTAAAGTAGATAGCCGAATGATGTAGGTTACACCTAGGAAATGAAAATACCCGTGAACCTGAGGTATGGTATGTATGGTATGGTAGAAAAGGATACTAGGAAGCGGGATTTATACTCCCCAGGCACTGCAGCCTTCTGGCTTATTGTACCTTCCTAGTTCCTTAGTTCAGTCAATAGACTCAATCCTTCTTAGAAGTATCAGGTCATTGACGGCTGCTGCTGCAACTTGATTCCCTAAGTTTTTTCCGTACGTTAGGTTAAGAATGGCTGTTTCCTCCTCCTCATTATATAATCTGCAAATGGGATCATCGCTGTATATACCAATGTTGTGTAGATGTTTTCTCAGATGCCAGTGACCGGTTAGTAGTCCTACCACTCCTCTCCAATTGCAGCAGTGTTTTTGCCAGTCTCGGTGAGGTTGCTTCATCATAAGTTTACTATGTCAATCACCGCTAGAGTTTATCTTCTTCTCCTTTTGTTTTGTTTTGATTCTATATTTGTTTTTGTTATCCCAAGAATAGGTTCGGGGCCTATGTACGGTCTTGCAGATCCTCCTCTGGCCAGTCTGTCTGCTTTCTCGTTACCCGAAATTCCCCTGTGCCCTGGCACCCAATATATCATCAGGTTGTTGTGTTTCCCCAGGATTTGGAGATTTTTGATGCTCTGGCCAGTCTGTCTGCTTTCTCGTTACCCAAATTCCCCTGTGCCCTGGCACCGAAGATATCATCAGGTTGTTTTATTTCCCCAGGATTTGGAGATTTTTGATGCTCTGGCCAGTCTGTCTGCTTTCTCGTTACCCAAATCCCCCTGTGCCCTGGCACCCAAGATATCATCAGGTTGTTTTATTTCCCCAGGATTTGGAGATTTTTGATGCATTCACTAATTTTGATGTGATTCTTTTACATGCTAATGCTTTAATGGCTGCTTGGCTTTCTGATCTTATGAGGATTTTTTTGTCAGTGTAACCTCTTCTAAGATTTTCCAGGGCACAAGCAGTGATGGCATTTATTTCCGCTTGAAAGACCGAAGTGTACTTCCCTAATGAGCTTGATTGCTCATGTTTTGGCCTTGTACAGAAGACGCCTGATCCGGTTCCTTCGTTTGTTTTGGAGCCATCTGTGTACCATATCATTGTATCTGATGCTCTCCTGTGTTCTTCCTCTCTTTTGTAGTCTAATAATGGGTGTCTGATTTTGTTGATTATGGTTGTATGCCAGAATTGTTTAGTTCCTTTCCTATTTAATTGTTTCTGAAGCCTGTGTGAGCTTTTCCTAGTCTCTACTTGTATAAATATTTACAGTGGAGTTTAGCAAAGTTTCTAATGCGTTTGTAGGGTTTATTCTTATGGCCCCTGTGATACATAGGTGCTAGTCTTTGTATGCTGCTTAATGTTTGGGTAGCTACTTTTTGTTGAGCTTTGTTCCACCAGATTAGTGATCCATAGGTTGTTCTGGGTCTTATTACTCGGGAACCTGAGGACTAGGCAATGTCGGATCTGCGAAATGATTATTTTCTTTTGTGCCGGGATGATCTCAAGGGTTGACGGGAGAGGAATTGTCGTTTAAGTTACGGGATTGATTCACGACTCACTATAAATCAGTTTGCCCTTAGACCGCACAACTCTCTCTTATTCCCACGTTTTGAAATGTATCCAAGGCGTATTTCTACCATTTGAATTATGACAAATAGGAAATTCTTTAATATTTGAAACAAGAAATAAAGGGGGAACTCGGACGAAAGTTTGAAAAAAGCCTGTCGAAAAAGGAAAAGCCCGGTTCGGATCGGGCGATTGCAATTTAAAAGGCAAACATATAATTTGTAGAAGATTAGGGCATTAATTGAGCTCAAAAACCACCCATCCTGCCTTAAACGGCTTTCCACCGGATCGGGCCCACATGACAACCTTTTGAACGATTTATTCGTCTGTCTTATCCATCGATTTGGGGCTAATTATTCTTCTCGTTTTGACAGGTGCGAAAGGACGAGAAACGGAGTCTGCATATTAGTCGTATCGGAATCGTATTTGGAGAACTTAGACTACGCCCTCGTTCTTCTATCCGTAAGTGTATCTTTAAAAGCTCTGTCTTATTTGCGAAATAAGCGTTCATCCATTTTGCAGCAGAAAGTCAAGATATCTTCTATGATCGTCTTCTCGATTTCTGAAAGAAGGGAAGAGAAAAAGTTACCCAGATCTGGAATTAAGGTAAAATTTTATAGACTATCGTATAATATAAACATAACTTTCTTGATTTATCCATGTTCAAAACAATATTTCATGAAACACGACAGTAATGCTTTTAAAACACATTTTCATTTTCACCTTGAGCCACTTTTTCTGCAAAATAACAGATGTTTAATATTTATGTTGCTACCGATCAGTTTTCATATATTTTGATTGCCAAATATTCCTAACTTAAAAGTATGATTGTTGATTTGCACATATTAATTAGAATAACAACTTATCATAAAAACAATAGCCAATACCAACAAAAAAAGAATCACGTTGCCTCGTCCGCGGATGGGCCACACCGTGCTTACACGTGGGGTATCTCTCCCAAGAAAAATCACAGATATGCCATTTATGCTGCGCACAAGCTCTGTAAAGCACATATTTACAAAGAGAAAGGAATTAGCGCCGAGTAGAACACGATGAAGCCTGCCTGCAGATTTGAACAACTAGCAGTGGTTATAAGGAATTAATACGACACCTAATGCATACAAACACATATTATAGTATACACGGAGCCCTTTCTGACGTACCATTTTTAACTTCGAATAACCTGTTTAATGATTATTCAGAAATCGTGAGATGCGGTCTGGTGACTAAGGTTTCAGAAAAACATTTTCTTTATGGTGCCAACGTTTCGATCTTTATTGAGATCTTCTTCAGGGCCTGGGATTTATAAAAATTGTTTAAATTTTTTTCAATCCAATACAAATACATGTAGGATGTGGAAAATAGTGAATTTATACAATGCATAAAAATATATTTTTTTATATTCAATCCAAGTATTTCTACTCACTCATAGTGTTTGTTTTCTGCGTACCCTGTAACCTGTTGAACTAATAACAACTTTTTAACTTAAAAATAATCCCTTTTTACTTCAAATTAACCCTTTGAAAGCATCAAAATAACACTTTTTTAAACTTCAAATTAACCATTTTTAATATCAAATTAACCTTTTTTGATTTGAAATGAAATATTTTCAACTTCAAATTAATAATTTTTAACTGCAAATTAACCTTTTTAATTACACATTAAGCATTTTTAACTTCAAATTAACCGTTTTTAACATTAAACATTGAGCATTTTTCACTTCAGATTAACCTCTTTTAGTTTGAAATGAATCATTTTTCTCTTCAAATTAACCTTTTTAAATTTCAAAGGAACCATTTTTGACTATAAATTAACCATTTTTAACTTCAAATTAACATTTTTAAATTTCAAATGAATCATTTGTAACTTCAAATTAACCATTTTTAACATCAAATTAACCCCTTTTTGATATCAAATGCACTATTTTCAACTTCAAATTAATAATTTTTAACTGCAAATTAACCTTTTTAATTACACATTAAGCATTTTTAACTTCAAATTAACCGTTTTTAACATCAAATTAACCTTTTTGATTTCAAATGAACTATTTTTAATTTCAAATTAATTATTTTTAACTGGAAATTAACCTTTTTTAATTACACATTAAGCATTTTTCACTTCAATATAATCTCTTGTAGTTTCAAATAAATCATTTTTCTCTTCAAATTAACCTTTTTAAATTTCAAAGGAACCATTTTTGACTATAAATTAACCATTTTTAACTTCAAATTAACCATTTTTAACATCAAATTATCCTTTTTTTAAATTTTAAATGAGCCCTTTTTAACTTGAAATTAAACCATCCAGCTAAATAAGGTTAATTTAAAGTTAAAGTTAAATTTTGACTTGAAGTTAAAATGTAAAAAGGTTAATATGAAATTTAAAAAAAGTTAATTTGAAGTTAAAAAGTGTAAACTTGATGGAGAAAACTGTATTTAAAAAGTCAGTCAAATTGGCGTAATATCAACAACCCTGGCGACTATCAATTGTGTGAATGTATTTATTTGCGTGAGTTGTTATTTTTGAGTGTGTTTGTGATAGAATATCGAGTGCCCACAAAAACACGAATTATTCTAACTTATTTAACTTTACATATAACTGCAGTTTGATAGGGGGTTAGGCAACGGCGTAATGTCAAAAACCTGTTGGCTATTCAATTGGGTGAAAGTATTTACTTGCGTGATTGGTTAAGTATGTATGAACACGGTCTCGTGGAATATCGAGTACATATAGACTTGCTGAAACAGTTAGGCTAATTAAGATAGTGAGTTTTACTGTGTGTGAGGGTATTTATTGGCGTGAATGAAAGGAGGCGTCAAGGCGGAAATCGCCTTGCCGGTCTCTACCGAAGGTTTAGGCAATATCGTACAATAACTGAAATCCCCGTCGTTATTAACTTTGCGATCCAAATTTTAATTATTACTGAACGGGATTTGTCTTGTTTGCCGGATGAAATATTGAGAATGTAGAGCTTCGCGAAGTCAGAAAGATTTTAAGGATTCTCAGAGCTTTTCTTATTTATAGTCTCTGGGCCGCAGAACCGAAACTTTTCACGATGTGAAAGCGACAAAGGCAAAAATTCGCGAATTATGTCTGAATCGAATAATTAATACGTACGCATGGAAAACAAGCAGGTCGCTGTTAGAAAACGAAACGTTGAGTTGTGCCATTGTATCAGAAATCGGACAAAAATGCTGGTAGTGTATGATTAATGTCGTATTTTACCTTTAATGTTTGCCCGTTTCGATGTGGCCGAAAGTGTATGTGTGTTGGGGAGGTGTTTGAATCTATCATTGTACGGTTTCTCCTGACACCGAGGATTCTGTAAGTACCGTCTGTTCTCACATCTAATTCAGCCCAAGGCGGTCACGTCTCGCGGCGTTTGTCCCGGACTTTCGTACGTTTGGACATCGAATGCAGAGAAAGTGAAAACCACCCTTAGGCCCGGCAAACGCGCCTATTACCATCTTCTTAACCCGGCCAACCCCCTAATTGCAGTCGATCCATCCTCATTAGGCGTACGGCAATCTCCCGTTTGGCAAACGGTAATAGCAGAGTCGCAAAACAAATTGGAAGAAGGATATGTCATTCAAAGTATAATAACGGGGCACTTACAGACTCGGCGACGTAAATGCCGACTCGCAGAGCTTGATAAGCGTACTAGGCTGTAAAGCTCGTGTTGGATAAACATTCACTACAACCCAGTTTTATAGACGGTTATAAAATATAAATAATCAGTTTTAGGCTTATCTGTTTATACAGTTGTCTATAAACATTGTAACAACTGTAAGATCCCCAAAAGATAACATATTACAAAAAATTGTATAGTCAAGTTCATACATATTTCTCGAAATGGGTGGCTTGTAAATCATCAATCGATTTACATAGAATCAATGTTCAATATTAGTTGCCACTGTTTTGATGTTAGTAACGTGATTAAAATTTAAAATACTAGGTACTGTGAAACATTGTATTGCCCGAAGAGCCAAAAAATTAATTTCTTACCTAAAACGCTTGAGTAGGTGCGCGTTTAAAAGCTTGTTTTATTTACCTTCTTATTTACCATTTACAATATAAGTGTAGTGTTGTATATTTCATATTATACATGTTGGTAAGGTCTATTTACAAATATAACTTTTTTCCGTCAAATTAATCTTTTTAATTTTAAATTAGCCCTTTTTAAAAAAACCTAGATGATTAGAAATGTAAGCACGTAAATTAAAATGTCTTCATTTGACAACAATTAAATATAAAATAATTGACCTTTTAGAAGTCCATTTGAAAATAGAATATAATTATAATTGAAAATTATATCAAATTAAATTTGACAACAAACGAGTCCTCTTTTAATTTGAGATTTTCTTCAAAAAGATTTCTACATTTCTCAAAACAAAAAAAGAATGTTATTTTTATATTTAATTAATTTTTTTAAGAGTCCAACTATGTTATGCATTTTCTCAAATGTACAGTTTGATTTATTGATTTAAAGAACGGGTTAATTTAAGATTAAAATCGTTAATTTGACATTAAAAAATGTTAATTGAAAGTTTAAAAAAAAACAGTTCCTATATATTTTCGAATATTTGTTTAAACATAATAAAATATGTGGACGCTTATCCGACCATATGCAAATTAATTACACTTAGAATTAATAATTTGCTAAAATTATTTGATTTTTTAAAAGAAATGGTTCTTCTTTAATTTGATAATTATTTAACATAAAAAATACCACACAAAAATTAAAATTGATAGTCACATAAAATTAAACATAAAAACAATGAATCTTGTATTAATTCGACATTTTATTATAAATATGAACTACGCGCTTTACGTACCAAATATTTTATGTTTGAACGGAAATAGGGCACATAAGAATTTTATTTTTATTTTTTGTATTTCATTCTAATTCTTATTGTTTTAATGTTTTATAGAAAGGGTTAATTTGAAATTAAAAAGTTTTAATTTGAAGCTAAAATGTTAATTTGAGTAAAAGTTAATTGGAAATTAAAAAGGCTTAATTTGATGTCAAAGAGGGTTGGTTTGAAATAAAATAGATTCATTTGAAATTAAAAAGGGTTAATATAAAGATAAAAATGTTAATGTGAATAAAAAGTTAATTTGAAGTTAAAAAAAGCTTAATTTGATGTCAAAGAGGTTTGAAATAAAATAGATTCATTTTGAAATGAAAAAGGTTAATTTAAAACTAAAAATTTTACTGTGAATAAAAAGTTAATTTGCAGTTAAAAAGGTTTAATTTGATGTCAAAGAGGGCTGGTTTGAAATAAAACGATTCATTGAAATTAAAAAGGGTTAATTTAAAGCTACAAATGTTAATGTGAATTAAAAGGTAATTTGAATTGAAAAGGCTTAATTGAATTCAAATAGGCTTGGTTTGAAATAAAATAGATTCATTTTGAAATTAAAAAGGGTTCATTTAAAGCTAAAAATGTTAATGTGAATAAAAGTTAATTTGGAGTTAAAAAGTCTTAATTTGAATTCAAAGAGGGTTGGTTTGAAGTAAAATAGATTCATTTTAAATTAAAAAGGGTTAATTGAAAGCTAAAAATGTCAATGTGAATAAAAAAGTTAGATTAATTAGAACTTTCAAAAAGGTTAATTTAAATTTAAAAAGGCTTAATTTGAAGTCAAATAGGGTTAGTTCGAAATAAAATATATGAGTTTGACATTAAAAAGATTAATTAGAAGTTAAAAAAGGTTAATTTGAATTGAAAAAGGATTAATTTGAAGAAAAAAGGTTAATTTGAAATTAAAAAGGGTTAATTTAAAGGCAGAAAGAGTTTATTTGAAATTAAAAATAATTATTTTGACTAAAAAAAGCTACAATAAGTTTAAAAAAGTATTAATTGGTATATATTTATGTAATACATGTAATACATTAATGAAAAATATTGTTTCACTAGACCGAAGGGTTGTCATACCCTGTTATTTGACCGGATACTTTACCCAGATATCCAGGAGATAAAAATACTATTATTATTATTATCTGTTCTGCGTGAAATGTGTTACTTGTTAAAATCTAGAGTATATTAAAATCTCCCAAATATGAATGAGGAGGGGCCGTGTATTTTCTCGAAAGCATTCCAGAAATGGTTGGTGGAATAGTTAAAATAATAATAGAATAATAACGGAGTAATTATTATGAATAGTAATACTAATAGTGCTAATAAGCTTTTTCTAGTGCTTTGAAATATTATTCCTGAAAGATTTGCTTTCTATTATTGCCTGTTTTATAAACTACAATGTTCTTCGCATTTTTGATCATCTCTATATGTTTCTTTCTGTGATATTAAATCCGGAAAATATTTTGGGCTAGACAGCTTATATTTCTCTTTGTTGTCCTATTTTTCGGATTGGAAAGACGATGTCTAGAAGAGAGAGGTGCTTTGTCTATTTTTCCTTCTGTCATTCTGACTCCGACGCGTTTATCCTCCCCCGGAATTCAATCAAATCTTATTTCGACTTTTCTTCACATTTCTTTCTGATTCATCTCTTGTTCTGAAGTCCTCCCCGAAAGGCCGAGTGGATCGGAACGGAAATCACGCAGTCGAGCACACCTTTCTTCTTGAGAGTCGCTTTCGTCTTTTTCATTATGCTCTCGAGTGTCCAATTTACTAATTTCGAAGACTCCTCCCCGTCATGATTTTCCAATTATAAAATTGACGTTTCTTTTTCTTCCAGTACACAGTTGTGAATAGCAAAAGTTCTTTGGAGGAGTTCCTGCCGGCGGACCAGATTCCGACGACGTGCGGGGGCGACGTGAGCCACGACCACATCGAGTGGTGCGAGTTTTTTAGAGTGAGTCCACATCGACTTATTAGAAAATATTATAAAAATCCAACTTTCACGTTCCTGCGTTTTTAGGAGTACGAAGACTTAAAAGAGAAGTGCACCGAAAACGGGCGGAGGATGGTCCAGGTGATGGCGGATCTCCCGTCGACCGGCGAGTTGACGAGGATGCAGGCTGTTCAGGAGGCGAGGAACCTCGCCAGGGCGGTCACGGACCCGGACCTCAACAGGCTGAGGACGAGAGGTCCCGCCGTCCTGGAAGCTCTCAGGCAAAGGGCTCTTTGGCTCCCGGCCAGTGAGGACGTCAGGTAATTTCACAAAATTGATTACGGCTAAAAACACCGTATACAGTATACAATCATACCTTTCCTTCATGATGTTCATGACCACTTCCTGCTAAAGGATGTTTAATTTAATCGCTTCAATTTTCCTCATGCTCCAAGTCGAATCAGATCATCCTTGAATATTTTTGCAGTCAATTTACACATTTTTTTTCAAATATTTGTAAATATTTCATCATTTTTAAACACTAATCTTTAAAATTATACGCACGATTTTTTCGTCCCTGTCTTAACTTAAAAAAAAAAAGAATATGGCTCGCACTACATACACAATATGATGACGATTAGGCATGGTACAAACTTGCCTCTAAATACATATTTAAATAACATATCCTCATCTGGACTTTTTAAATATAGCTTTATCCATCAAATTCACCCTTTTAAACGTAGAATTAACCGTTTTCAATTTCAAATTAAGCTTTTATAACAACAAATCAAACCTTTTAACTTCAAATGAATCTTTTTTTAACTAAAAATGTACCTTTCAAATTCAAACTAACCCATTGTAACATCCAATTAACCATTTTAACTACGAATTAACCCTTTTTAATTTCAAATTAACCGTTTTTAACATCAAATCAAACCTTAAAAATGAACCTTTTTTCAACTAAAAATGGACCTTTGAAAATCAAATTAACCCATTGTAACATCCAAATAACCGTTTTTAATTTCAAATGAAGCTTTTTTAACGTCAAATCAAACCTTTTTTAAAAATAAAAATTGACCCTTTCCTAATTAACCCATAGCAACATCCAATTCACCATTTTAACTACAAATTAACCCTTTTTAACTACAACTTTTTAATTTCAAATTAACCGTTTTTAACATCAAATCTAACCTTTTAACTACAAATGAACATTTTTTTTCAACTAAAAATCTACCCTTTCAAATGCAAACTAACCCATTGTAACATCCAATTAACTATTTTAACTACAAATTAACCGTTTTAACTGGACTTTTTGAACTTCAAATTAACCGTTTTAATTTAAAAAAACATTTTAAAACTCAAATGAATCTTTTTTTAAACTAAAAATGGGCCCTTTCCTAATTAACCCATTGTAACATACAATTAACCATTTTAACTACAAATTAACCGTTTTAACTGGACTTTTTGAACTTCAAATTAACCGTTTTTAATTTCAAATAACTTTTTAAAACTCAAATGAACCCTTTTTTAAACTAAAAATGGGCCCTTTCCTAATTAACCCATTGTAACATCCAATTAACCATTTTAACTACAAATTAACCCTTTTTAACTGAACTTTTTTATTTTCAAATTAACCGTTTTTAATTTCAAAAAACATTTTAGAACTCAAATTAATTTTTTTTTAAATTTCAACTAAACTATTTCTTCAAATGAAACTTGTTAACTAAAAATGAACTTGAATCAACTTAAAATTTAACATTTTTAAATTCAAATTAACTTTCTTAAATTTCAAGTGAACCATTTATAACTTCAACTTAACCGTTTCAATTTAAAATAAACCTTGTTTATTTCAAATAACTTTAAATTAACTTTTTTTAATTTCAAACGAACCTTTTTTGCAACTAAAAATTGACCCTTTCCAATTCAAAATAACTCTTTGTAACCTCCAATTAACCAACTCCAAATTAACCCTGTTAACTGCATTTTTTAACTTAAAATTAACTTTTTGTAATTTCAAAAAGTTTTTTTAAACTCCAATTAACCATTTTTAACTTCAACTTATTTCTTCAAATGAACGCTTGTTAACTAAAAATTAACTTGAATGATGAAGAAATCAAATTTAAATTTATCCTTTTTAAATTCAAATTAACTTTTTTAAATTTCAAGGGACCCTTTTCAACTTCAAACTAACTTTTTCAACTGCAAATAAATCTTTTTTTAACGTCAAATAACTTTAAATGAAGCGTTTTTTAAACGAAAAATGAACCCTTTCAATTTCAAATTAATCCTTTTTAAATTCAAATTAACTTTTTTAAATTTCAAGCGAACCCTTTTCGACTTCAAATTAATCGTTTCAACTTCACATAAATCTTTTTTTAGCTTCGAATAACTTTCAATTTAGCCTTTTTTTAACGAAAAATGAACCCTTTCAACTTCAAATTTATCTTTTTTAATGTCACTTTTTTCAATTTCAACTTAACCGTTTTTAACTTCAAATTAACTTTTTTTAAATTTCGAATAAACCCTTTTTAATTTTAATTAATAATGATTAGTTTGAAAGTAAAATATTTCATTTGAAGTTAAAAAACCTTAATTTACAATTTAAAAAATTAATATGAAATACACAATGTTTAATGTGAAGTTAAGTAAATTGGTTAAAAGGAAATATTATTTAAATACTTAGAGGTAAGTTTGTACCAGAATTAATAAATTAATCTTTAACCTGAGCATAATCATGTTTGTGTCTAAAATCTATGAATTGAAAAATTGAAATGTGTAAGATATCGAATTGCAACGTAAAAAAATTTACCCATCCTCTTAAACTTCTAAGTACTACAATTTTAATAGAATTTATTTTATTTTTTTATAGAAGCGGTCTGGAAGCTCTGGAAAGCCTTTACAACGAGGTTATCGGAACGGCAGACAAAATAGAAGAACTGTCTGAAAAGCGTCGTGCCAAATTGAAAGACATCGCAAGGATCAAGGCTTTGGAATCGGAAACTGAACAGGTATTTATTTATCTCCACTCACAAATCTACCGAACAAGACGTCAAAGAAAAACGCGATTAATATCCTAGTATTACCAGCGTGGATCAAGTGTGATATATTTCCAACGATTTGTCACAAGTCGGTTTACGCCGTATGCATACCATTGACGAACGACACGGTTCCATTTTGAACTTTCACTAAGCACTAAGTAGAAGGCAGTTCACTTTGTTCACGCCCTCACATCAATCAACTTACCTTCACCTTCCCACGTTTGGATTTAATGTGATGAGCAACCCTCGGGATTATTGTTTTTGTGTATGTGTTTTTTTTCCATTTAGTACCTTTTATATTTCTACTGTTGGGCCGCAGCGAAGCGATCTTTTTTTTCTAAACGTGATCTTTAGTTATTAAACTGCCTCTCAGTAGAAATGAATATTCTAATATGAAATAAACACATGTCAGATGTTCAAAGGTTTGATATTGAAAACATGAGCAGGATTTTTCTGTTAATTGCGTTCAGCTGTAATAGAAAAAGCTCAATGTGAAAACTTTGTAACTAAAAAAACACAATTTTTGGACTCAGAATCTAAAGGGTGTCGAGTATTTATGTAAAAGTAGACCTTATTTTGTGAAATTTGTCTTGGATGTGTAAAATAAAGATGATGATAAAGATTTAAATTATTCCCCGAGTCCTGCTTTTTTAAAACTTAATTTTTTTTAAATCGTACATTTTTGAACGAGCACGTACGTGGCATGTTCTGATGTGTTTTACTGTTTAATTTTGCATTATTTGACGGATTCGAACATGGATCCCTATCAATTCGGACTTAACGGATTTACGGACTAAACGGATGTTTGAGGTGTCGATTTTTTTTTTTTTCTATCGTACTTTGATGGAATAAAATATATTTCGCTTACTATTCACTCAAACAAACAAATATACACTGTAGGTCTACACAATAATTACATATAATATTTATTTAGAAATCTTGACATGCTGTCTGGTGTGATGTAGGTTTCAGAAAAACATTTTCTTTATCGTGCCAACGTTTCGATCTTTATTGAGATCATCTTCAGGACCTGGGATTTACAAACATTGTTTACATATAACAATTACATTTTAGATGTATGTAATTGTTACATGTAAACAATGTTTGTGAATCCCAGGCCCTGAAGATGATCTCAATAAAGATCGAAATGTTGGCACGATAAAGAAAATGGTTTTCTGAAACATACATCACACCAGACCGCATCTCACGATTTCTAAATAAATATCGGTTAACGGTCACTAATTACCACACATTATATATAATGTTTACAATATTTACTTTGTATTTCTCTTAAAAATCCATATTTCTTGCTCAACGACTGTCTTTATGTTGGGTGCCTGCCTACTCGCTCCCCGTGAAGGGCCGAGGCGTATAGAGGTATCACTGTTATTCCTCTTGACAGAATAGCATGATTTCATGTCGCTATGAATATTTTTACCCATGTCAAGACAATATCTTAACCGATTGGATCCCACGTTCATAAAAAATCTAAATAGACTCATTTTAAGAGGAACGGGTAAGCGATACTTAATAAAATTGACAACAGGACTTTACAAAATGTCGATAGCTTCCTGTAAAATACAAGGTTAACTTGAATGTTGAATCATATATCGTTTAATTGAGCCCATTGTTCGTGTTATCCACCTCGAGGGGTTTTAATTTGCCGAAACACGACAGGGGACATGCTAGAGCTAATGAATAATTTGACTTGGGAAAATTTCATTTGCTTAATAGGATGTTATCGTTTTGAATTTCCGCACAGCCTCCAAACCAACTAACAAGGGGACGACCGGGTTGATTGGGTCGCGGATTTGGGCCAAAATATTTTTGGTGATTTTACACTCCAAAATATCGGTCTCGTATTCACCACTTCTTGTCAATAAGCTCAGTTTTAGCCCCAAAAAAATTTGAAATTTTCCGTTTTTTAATATTTTTATTTCGCCATTATACTTAATCAAAACCACTATGTTAATATATCATTTTACGTCAATTTTTATGTAGATTGCAATAAAAATATATTAAAAGCTATCAAAGTTTATCAGTAACCAAAAAAATTCTAAAACCAAATAAAATTTATTATATGTGTTAAAACGGAAAATTTGGTGTAACGTAAATTTTTTATTGTAAAGCTTGTAAATATCAAATTATTATTTAAAATTAGTTATGTATAAAAGGTTTTTATTACATTTTCAGCTCTTATAAACCTAATGTAAAGTCCATTACAGTTCGTGGTCCGATTGACCAATTAACATTTTTCAGTTAATTGATATTTGTGAAAGGTATTGGTTAAGATGAAAAAGAGTACGCTACTACAAAGAGCGGTTGAGATAAAAAAAGTCAGTGTGACGAGCGGGATTCGAACCCACGACCTTCGGCTAGGTACGCCGCTACTCTATCACTTGAGCTGTCGTGTCTTCGATCCGCTCGGACATCAACTTCCCATCTAACTTCACCTCTTGAATTTTCCCTCCTTTTTGCCATGTAAAATTAATTATTCAGAAATCGTGAGATGCGGTCTGGTATGATGTACATATTCTTTATCGTGGCAACGTTTCGATCTTTATTGAGATCATCTTCAGGGCCTGGGATTTACAAACAGTGTTTACATTTAACAAATACATGTAGGATGTGGGAAAAAGTGAATTTATACAATGCAAAAAATATTTTTAATCTTCAATCAAAGTATTTGTACTCACTCAGTGTTTGTTTTCTGTGTAATTGTGCCATTCTTACGTGTCGTGTTGAGAATGTGTGTAAAATTAATGTAAAATATGCAAATCAATTTTCGTTAATTATTTAGTCAACTATATTTTATAATTCCATTATGTTTAGTAGTCTATTGACCAAATTACTTCTTTCAGTTAATTATTCTTTTTATGTAAGTTCTTGGTTGAGATGAAAAGTCAGTGTCGCAAGCGGGATTCGAACCCACGACCTTCGGCTAAATACGCCGCTGCTCTAACCACTTGAGCTATCTTGACTTCCAGTATTAGTTTATTATATTATTATTTTATAATATTATTAACAAACACATATAATCAAAATGGAACATGTTTAAATAAACGGAAATTTAAAAAAAAAATAAACCATCGACTTTTATGGTTTAACCCTTTTGTTATTATTTTTATAGGTGTACTGCTTTTGCCATAAACTTAAATTTTTCTCGTTATATTTTCTTTTTTTGTAAATATCTCTTATTAAAGTGGCAAAGAATATTCTTAAGATAATTTGAAATTAGGCTGCCTTTTATTTATTTCTAATTTCAACGCCTTGCTGCTATCATTTTCTTTCAAATAATAACAGTCATCATCATTTGGCATCCTTTTTCCTGTAGTTGAATTAAGTCACTTTGGGTCTGATTTTCTTGGTTTATTATTTTTTTTACATATTTATATGCGGTGTGAGAAAATACAAGTCGGACGCTCTATTTTCAATGTGCCCTGATTTTCATTCTTATGGTTTTTTGGTCTTTGGTCCGGTTCATCTCAATTAATACACATAGATTGATTCTAAACAGACAAAGTTACATAAATAATTTATTGGTAAGTTAATAGGTATAGGATAAATTATCGTTTTAACCTCGATTTGACCAAAGTAGAACATGGAAGCACAACGCGTGTGTTAAAAGAGAAAGAAACGTCTTCCTATTATATGATTTCAAATGGCTAACGTAAAATTTAATGTAATTATGTTTTCTAGACCGTAGAGACATGCGGTCGTTTTACTAATGAAGTCTGCGAAGAGTCAGGCTTTGACTTTTTCTTTTTTCTCCATGTTATAAATTATAGCAATATATCATTACGAAAAAAATGATTAAACAGGTTTTTAGTTAAAAAATGATCAAATCCAAAATCTTATTATCTATGACCGCTTTGAAGATTTACCAAAGTTTGTTTCCTTTCATTTTGTCCGTTATAGCCGTCTCATTTATTTTAATTTCTTCTAGAAATTTGTGATGGCCTCTCCTGAGTTTTGGCTTTATTTCCTTGTATCTCAGGAGTTTGTTGCACACTCAAAAGCCACCTTTTGGTTACTATGACATAAATATTTCATGGTGCGGTTTCCATTGCTGTAGTGCGCATGTGTAGTGTTTCTGGCCATCATCCTCCAAGTGACTAGGAGTCTGACGGTTGTGGTGTATAACCACTACACCATCCTGGTATTTATCTATCAATTTTTGCGGCATAATCTCTGATCAATGCTGAGCAGATACTTGACTTAATGTAGAACGTTGGCTAATTGTTTTTTCATTTGATCCTTCAGTCAAGGGTTATACCTAGGTACTTATTTCTTTGGAGAAAGTAATTTCATCTTTTATAGTGGGTGCTTTGAGATTTCTGTTCCTTCTTCTTGTAAAAGATGTGAGATATCATTCAATTAAGTCAATTAAAAGTCAGTGTCACGAGCGGGATTCGAACCCACGACCTTCGGCCTGATACGCCGCTACTCGTACCATTTGAGCTATCGTGACTTCGATTCACTCGGACACTAACATCCCATCTGAACCCCACCTTTTGAATTTTCCCTCCTTTTTGCCATTTTTCAAAGCGGCGAAGACACAATAGCTCAAGTGGTAGAGTAGTAGCGTATCTAGCCTAAGGTCGTGGGTTCGAATCCCGCTCGTGACACTGAATTTTATCTCAACTAAAAACCTTAATTAATGGAAAGATATTAATTTGTCAAGCGGACCACGAAAACTAGTGAATTGGTGTGAGATATGTTTTCTTAAAGTTTATGTTTAAACCCATTTTTTAACTCCATCTTCCTACAATATTGAGGCCGTTTTGCATTTGATTTGACAGAGTGACATGGAATTTCATTTTTATGATTGCTACTAGGTCATCTGCATAACCTATTGGTATCTTAAAAAGGCCGTCATCTAATACCACAAACTTAAATCTGATACAAATTTGAATGGAGAAAATGTACTATTTAATAGTTCAGATTAATTAAAAGAAACTTCTCCCTGT